TAGTTAGGACACAACGTTTATACCATAGGGCCCATAATATTGCCTTTCTTCCTATACTAAACAAATTACTCTGAAACTCAGAGAGTTGGAATTCTTTAGGTTCCCAGTAACCCAGCAAGATGGCTCGCCATTCCCACGGCCAGTCTATCCCAGTCAGACTCCTCCAAGTGCAGTCCCATCTTCGCCATAAAAGGACTGCACCTGGACACTGCATAAAGATGTGGAAAACCAGAATCCATCACGCTTTGAGTGACAACAAGGAGAGTGGAGTTTCCTTTATGAGCTGAATGAAGATGGAGCTCAGATTCCTTTTCCGGGACCAAAAACATGGAACCCGAGTTCCCGATTTGGCCATGACGTCTGAGCTTGGAACTGAAAATTGGAACTGAATTTGGACCTGGGTCTATCAAGCTCACAGCTTGGCGTCTTGTCATGTAACCCAAGGCGTTCGAACTCGAGTTGGAACTTGGACGTGAAGTCGGAGCTCGAGGGTTAACGTAGTTGGAACTGATGTGGGAACTGGAAATGTACTTAGACTTGGAACTGAAAATTGGAACTGGATTTGGAACCAGAGGTGGAACAGGAATCGGTGAAGGCGCTGAAGGGAAGCTGAACATGGAGCTGGAGAGTTAGTTGGAGATTGGGAGTGGATCTGGAGCATAGCAGTCCTTTAGACTGTCTGGGCAATCCGTGGACGTCTGACAAACACCGGCCATGGATGTGTATGTGTGGATGGGGACACGGACAGCAAACATAGGGGGGTGCAGGTCTTGGGAAGAAGGAGGGGGGGGGGGGGGGGGGGGGGGGGGGGGGGGGGGGGGGCGGGGGGCCACTCAAGACAGGAAAGGATGGGAGCACTCAAGATAGGAAAGGATGGGATGGTGATGGGAGAGGCGGGGGTTGAGAGATTGGGGATTTCAGGAAATCGCCAGGGATGGTTGGTTTACAGGGGGAGGTACAGCAAACACAGAGGGGATGGACTCGAAGCCACAAGTCGCAAACTGCCGGCTGAGGCCTTGCTTTTCTGGGGGCAGGGACATTGACCAGATCCCAGGGACCAGGAGAAACTTCCAGTAAGTCCTTTCTGTAGTTGTGGAGAACTATTATCGAATGATGTTGTCAAAGACTGCCAGGTATAAGTCCTGCAGCACATAGGGAGCAGGATCGGGACCAGGGTCGCTACCGGGACCAGGACCAGGACCAGGACTGGGACTCGGGAACATTATGGTATGGTGATTGCAGGGTGCTGCAAACACAGGGATTGCAAATGTTTGTTGTTTTTTTTTTTTTTCCGTGCAATTTTCATTTCCTTCGTACTTGGTAATCATGACACTATGCCTCCAAAAAAATGATGACCTACTCCAGCAAAATGGCAGACGTCTGTCAACACGTATTGTATTGCGCCATCTAAGTGAATTAGCAGAAGATTTCGGAGGAAATCCAGAAGAGCCAGCGTGCAGAGAACAGCGTTATCAGCACCCCAGGAAAGATCATCGCTATGGGTAGGTATTTGGCGAAGTGCATTTTCTATGGATGAGAAATTGCGAATGTGTTGCACTGATCCGACTCAATTTGACTCCAGCTTCGCAACCACCCAAACACTCAAACCTTCGCACGGCACTAGCACACTTGCGGCACTGTTGCTCACTCAGATGTGAGATGATGGCATTCTCTCTGCGAATGTGGAATTTGTATCAATCATAGTTAGTTAAAAAAAAAAAAAAAAGGTTTTAGTCCACCACTATTGCGGACCCTATGTTGCCGAACCCAACTTTACACCGACCATCACCTTCCCAGTGCCTGAATGGTTGTGCCGACTGGGTTGCAGTGAGGAGGGGCAATCACTAGCACGGTAGTAGCACCCATTTTGCGTCATACAAAAAGTTCGCGTGGATTTTTCCTTTTAGCTTTTCTACTATTTTTCCCAACCCTGTGCAACCTGCCCAGTATCCCTGATTTTTTTGTCCAAAATTTGTATCCAAGGAGATGAGAACTAAGATTACCAAGACCAGGGCCCTCAAGATTTTGCCCACTCCTCCCCCAGAACCCCCCTTGCACCCAACAGGCCAAACCTGACCATGATTTTGGAGTGCACCATAGTGAAAGTGTTGCTAGGCCCGCTGCACACTGGCTGCTTAAACCCGCAAAACCCCTCGGAGCCTCTTTTTCCCGACAATGATTTCAGTCAGCTGCACACCAAAGAGAAAAGGAGCCACGCAGGTGAGGAATATTTCCTTTTCGCCTGGCGCCGCCAGCCTTTTCTTTTTGATACGCCAAGCCCGCAACTATGTCGTGTGTTAACCGTGGAATCAGAGCGCAATATAGCTCGGGAAAGGGACTGGTCGTTCAGCGACAGTCACCCAACCACCACTGCCTTTCACACCTGTATAGTCCCATGTGGGAAAATGACCTCATCCGAAATGAAAATAGCGCCTCCAGGCGGCCGCTGATAATTTTAATCGGCGGCTACCGGCCTCTGAAACAGTGCAATGGGATCCACCCCGCGGCCAACATATGAGAAAGGAAGTGGCGGTTTAACTTTCCCCCAAAGATTATTGCTGCTCTTTTGCATTTATGGTGCGTCCCCTTTCTTACCATTCCTTGATTGATTCACCCTCGGGTCGTGCCCTTAAATTCTATTTTGAATTTTTGTGTCTTCCTCTGTTCGATTATGCCTTACACCACCTACAATGTCCTACACATTCTAATTTTCAACTTTACTTTTGATTTAACAAACCACCAGCGCACATCTCTTTTCTGGCTCCTCTTCTCCTTCTTGCCAACCTGAACCACTACCGTCTTCACCCGAATAGAACGCCCGGTTATTATAGCTGTATCTGGACTGAAAAGTGCACCAAATATGGCTATAATGACCGGGCGTTCTATTCGCGTGAAGACGGTAGGAATTTTCTCCAACGTGGCTGCATGCACGCCACAACTTTCGGGGATCCGCCGCAAGAGCAAAATGACTGGCAGTGCCACCCAAAAGGAGGCCCGTGCCGGTTCGTTTTTTTTCGTTGCTGCACAGGGCGTCTCAAGCACCGGGAAAAAGTGGCTTGGAAGTGTGCCGGTGGGTTACTGGCCATTGTCGACTGAACTATTTTCTTTTCCGGACCTCTCCTGGAGGTTCTCGACTTGCCGACATCGCGTCCCTACTTCCTTGTGCCACCTCTTTTACAGAGTACTGTGAACTTTCCCACACTTCAACCAACAACCAACAGCAGTGTCCCGCTTCTACTTGAACAGAATTTCCTTACTTGTATCCCTTCCCCCTTCTTCCTTTCATTACCCCAATGTATGTGTATCATCATTTCTCAGGCTGTGGCATCAGCGAAAGCTTGATTCTCAGGCTGTACAAAGACACATCAGCGAATTAACTCCTAACTGGTTTTGGCAAAACTTTTGCATACACGTACAGTAAAAGTGATTGTTTTCGACTCGAGCATTAGCCACTTGGAGCATTTCGCTTATCCTTCGTGTCAGTCTTTTCTTCCGATTTCCACAGTCTTCCTTAATGACATCATTTGCCCAAAGGTCTTTGCCACACTAAGTTTGCGTAAGAAGTGCCCTCTACATTGGCCAAGGAATCGATCACGTGTTTTGCATCTCCGGTCAGAGATCAGTGCTGCCCCCACGAATAGACTGGAGCACTTGTTTAAAAAAAATAAAAACAGAGATCAGTGCTGCCCCCTACGAATACACTGGAGCACTTGTTTAAAAAAAAAATAATAATAATAATAATAGGATACCAGAGTGGCCCGGCCGGGCCAAAAACATAAAAATAAAATAAAAATAAGAAAAAATATTTTTAAATTTTATTTCGTATTTTGAATTTGGTGAAGAATTTCGATGTGACCCTGAGGCAATAGTGGTTCAGTTTATTTTTCTGCATAGCATAGTTTTTTGTGGATTTTTTGGATTTATTTTTTTTTCTTTGGACCTTCCCTTGCACGGGATAGCCACCCGGGATCCGGGCGGCCCAGCTGGTAGCCTAGTAGTAATAATAATAATAATAATAAAATACATAAATAACTTAATAAAATTTGGTAACACATCTTGTGGCATTCTTCCTCAAGCATATCGCACCGAGACATTACTTTGCCACCAAATATACCTTTCTCGGCCTTTTGGCTAAGATCAAGTGTAGTATCTGTTCTGATCAGTTAAATATCTGATCCGTGGTCCATCGGACCACACGATATTAAAAAAAAAAAAAAAGAAATACTTTGCCACCAAGAATTGACAATCTTTGGCCACCCTACTAACAGAGTGCAATCAAGCTATGCGTATGCCCTCCACATAAGTTGTGTGTGTGTGTGTGTGTGGAGGGGGGGGGGGGGGGGGGRGGGGGGTGATCCGGATGGGGCATGCTAGAGGGAGTGATACGAGCAGCTCCATCTAGCAGGCCCATGCCCAGATGCTCCCATCAGTTGGTCGGGTGGAGCACATTGCTCGAAACCGGACCCAGCGTCCCACATGAGCGAGTCCACATTTCTTCGATCGTAGCAAGTGAATGACTCTCTGATTATGACCCCTCTATTTTAAGAGCAGACTTCCTTTTGGGGGTTTTAGATCCAGTTTGGGAATTTTTCTTTAATAGTTAAACACAAATATGATATAGTATCGGGTAGGTTGCAACCATGGATTGTCAACCTCCTTAGACTCGGGAGCTGTTGTGGTTGTAGTTTTTCTTTCTTGGTACGCTCCGCCTAACCCCATCATTCTTTGTTTGGGAGTCTGTTTTATGGGGGGGTGGGACCACGTCTCACTGCATTGGAAAGCAGTTTGGAGATTTCTCCCTCGAAAGACTCTTTATTTTGACTCCATCTTCCACTGCCTGCCGTGGCAGCTTATAGCATCTTCCACAACTACGTCAACAGTCATCAAAGCAAAAGTAAACTAACGACAACGACAGAATAAGGGCAAACCTCCGCCATGGTAGACTGACCGGTCCCGTCCAAACCATATCAAACAGTCCAAATAACTCGATCAAACAGTCCAGTTCGACTTCTATGGTTCGCATTATCGTTTGTTTAGTTTGCGTTAGCATTCACGAGCTGCCTTTATTGTGGCAATATGTGAGAAACAGGGAGAGGCTGCGATGACTGCGAGATGGTTTTGTCTCATTATATGTACTACTTCATTTAATTAAAATTATCATAAACGGAGGAGGTCGATCATGTTGCAATGAAGATAATTAGACCATATTTCATCGCCCTCTCAGAATAGGATTGACCAAGGTGCTGGGATACACTTAACTGCACTGTGGAAGCAGTGAAAAAGAGAGAGAGTCAGTACTACCACTGACCTGAGGTGCACCATTAACACATTTCCGGATAATGTTCAGTAGTGCACCATTAACACATTTCCGGATAATCGTACAATCTACCAGCAGTGAGGAGGCAATCTACTAGTCGCCTCTCTCTATGTTTACAGAGTTAAACCCCCCCATCCGCCACCACCCTCCCACCAATGCGCGACCTTTCAGTCATTGCTTCTTCTGATACTCTTATCCCTTGATATCAACGACCCACACGGCGTAGGCAGCCAACGACTCCTCTATCTCACTGTGTACTGCATGACTGTGCCCCGACGACTGCTCGAGGGTCCCACTTAACCAAAAAACAGTCGTTTTCCCGGTGACGGCGTGTGGCACACGATTTCCTAATTCAACTTCTCATTGTCTGATAGCCTCCTTTTCCCAACCACGACGCCTTGATGCACATAAATCCGCCTATTCTTTCATTGCGTTCCAAGATTTGATTTACACTGTAATCGACTTTCCCTTAGAAAATGAATTGACTGTACAAATCTGCTGCTTGAAACGGCCACCTAGCTTCTTTTCTTATTATGTTTGCCCAAGTGTTTAATTCTGTGAAAGAATTGAAGATTTAAGTGATTTGCTCGAGGGCGATTCGGGTAAATTGCTCGACGCAAGTAAACCTCCGCCATCGTTATCTTATTTGAAACGAGTTGACCGCGTCAGGATATGAAAACAAAAGCCGATGGTGATGCATCAGGAAGGGCCGTTATCATCTCTAAGGAGTATTCGTTCTCATCCCAATAGCACATGGATCTGGCATGGTGCAGAACAGCCTGTGACTCCGAGCTGATTATCCGATATACTGACCTATGCCCAGTCTGCCCCACAGCTCTCTCAACGATATCTCATTGCGGGTATCTGGGTGGAAGGGTCACGTCTCGACATCCAACTCACATCCGTCAGAGCACGGATCTTAGGCCACGACTTGGGTTTTCGAGCCGGAACTCTACACCCCGAGATTGAGGTGGATAACAGTTAACCAGTCCCGAAATGTCGAGAAAACGTGACCAATAAATATACACCAAGCGCATGCCGTTCCGTTACACCTGTATTGTTTTAGTCTTCCAGACAGGCCTGGGCGACTATCGTCAGCCACCTGCGAGTGTGATTTTCTCGACACACTCGCACGAGTCTTCTTGACATGCCAAAATAACATATGGATTGTCCAGATCAGAGTTACAAGGCCCATACGCTGCCAAGGTAAGGTCTATAAAGATTGCTGCCTTTTGAATACACTGGGTAGCCAAACTACACTTTCTTTTTCCAGGGCCCAGGCGGATTGAGTAGAGTTAAATTTTCCTTTTCCAGAGGCGGAGGCGGGTTATAGGCAGACAACAACCCTTGATTAACATTGGATTCCCTGCTCCATGTCTCGTGTAATCGGAGCAGTCTCACACCGTCGCAAACACGCACAACAACAAATGCAAACATACCAACTTCATTTGACTACGTACACTTACACAAACAGTTAAAACATCAATTGACCGACACCACACCTCGATTTTTCGAAAAGGAAGACGGATCACATCCAGGACGAAAGCAATACATCGGATTAGCGACAATTCAGGAAGCACGAAGCATGTGTGTTCATCACATAAAACAAAACAGAGCGCCCATTGCAAACCACAGCGTTGTCCATCACTCCACAACTCCTTCCATTGTCGATTAAGGAATCGATTAAGGAGCACACAGTCGATCAAAAGCAGGGACACATCCGTCATCTCGAAAACGCACACATGAACTAGAGAACTCATCCACAGCCGTCATCTACAAGATCGGCGGACCGTTCCGGACCCGCTCAGCGAAATTGTTCACATTCATCGAAAAAATCCAATAGCCGAAAATCCACGTACAGCCTGCGACACTCAGATATGTGGACCATAACCCTACAGCCCAACATCTCCTTTCATGAACATCGCCCCCTGCACCACAGCTCTTAAACCAGGGGTTTTCGGACACACTCTGCTCAGACATAATCGCGTCTGCTGCATTTCTTCTTGCGGACAAATCCGTGCTAAGCTCTCTTCTCGCCTCTATGCATGTTCCCATCTGATCGGCGTAGCAGACCGACATCAACACGCGGACGCATACCTCATTACCATCCTACGGCGTCACATCTTTCAGCCGACCGTGATCTCCATATCGACACCACTTAAAACCTAAAGATCCAAGGAACAGAAAACCTAATTCATTCTCTGGATGAGCGCATTGATCTTCGTCTCCCTGTCACCCGCATCACCACCCTCAATATAATGCAATCTCTTCTTCTTCAATCCTCCGAGAGGACAGTTGAGCTTGAACGGCCAGAGGAAATTGTTCGCCTCCTTGAAGTGGGGACCAGCAGTGTAGATCTCGTGAATCAGGTCCTCCATACAGATAATGCCGAATTTGCCGAGCTCCTGGGAGACGAACAACAGACGTCATCATTTAGACCACAACCCGTCAGATTTACAGAAGTTGCACGAACATGAAAGAATTATCCCTCAGAAAATGTCTCGCGCACCGAACTCAAACACGTATGAAACTAGGCTGGCATAGCGGACAGGGACCACTTACACAAGGGTCAGCAAAAAAAATGTTGGAAGGACGGAAGAGAATACGATGTGACCCTGAGGCAAAAGTTGTTCAGTTCATTTTTCTGAATACCATAATATTTTTCAGATTTTCCGGATTTCGTTTGTTTTTCTATTTTTGATGGAAGCTTTTTGGTCCTTGCACGGCCCGGCTCCCCGGGTAAACAACGTCACTCGGACGGCCCGCTGGTTGCCTAGATAAATCATACACAACAGATCTGAGTTATGGAAGGATAGCCTTCAAGACCTCGAGCAAAAACTTTGAGAGAGCGGTAAAGCAAAGACGGCGTCGTATCTCATTAGCGAAATCGAGAATCCCTCTAGCTCCCTACTATGCTCGTCGAATAAGGACTGGGAGCAATACCCGATTAACTCGTATATGCCCTTTATCCCCAAATTCTACCCTCTTACCCGGAAGACAGGATCATCACAATCGCCAAGCAGACAACTTAGTCATCCACCCGCCCCCTCTCCCCCTAACCCACCACTCTCCCCCCGTAGACAAGACCATCAGAAGAACCACAGATCACTTACTCTTCTGCTATTTACATCCATAACAACTAAAAACGTTTTTCCGGAATCATACCCCATATGCGGGTGATGCGGGTGATGCGGGTAAAACAATTAACCGAAAAAGTTGATTATCCACTACAGAACATAATACAAACAGAACATTTCACAGCCAAAGAATATCATATGACGGGGAGCAAAAAGAACAGCGGCACCAGCCAAAAGGAGACTACCGGTAGCCCTGGTTTCCCTCTTTTTGTGGCCGGCGGCGCCAACCAAAGCAGAGCGGCGCTGGTTCGGAGTCTCGGGCATACTGATGTTTTGAACGGCGTCTGTTATTTAGGGCCCGGATGGGGCGCAGGGCGTTTGCAGGCCCGTTCTGATGTGCCTCGGGGTTAGTACTGATGATTTAACAGTTACTTTCGCGCGCACTAGCTAAGTAACTAAGTAAGTAGATAACATTATGACACTGACAGCATCATCATCTCGTAAGTGGATAACATTACAACATTTTCATTGTCTCATCGACAATGTCCTCCACTATCAGATTCTACGGTACATGCCCATTCATGCAAAGATGCACTGGCTGTGTCCCTACCCTTTTAGCACGGAATTCGTACAATCGAATTTTCGAGGAAAAAACAATGCCTTCCTCTTCGGCGCCGTACAGCTCTATGAAGCTGATATCGAATTAAACCAAACGCGCATCACGCCCCCAACAAGGGCAACTCCAAAGGAAAAGCAACCGGTGGTTTAAAGTAAGGCTTTCATATACCTTCTCGATGATGGCGTTGTCCGTCAAAGGGATCCTCATCTTGTTGACCTTCCCGTACCCACGCTTGTAGATAAGCTCCTTGACACTCTTGAGGCTGGGGTACCCATAGGTGATGTACGGCTCAACTCTACGGATCATGTTGATGGTGGCCTTGTTCACTTTCAAGAACACACCGTTGAAGATCTGCAAAAGAAAAAGAGCACCGGGGATGAGCAGCGATTTCGAGACACAAACCATTCATCAGTACATCAGCCAGACTCACGCCACCCCACCACCTAATCCACTCGATTCACGCCGAAAAGGAGTGCACCAGGTACACGGGAACAATTCGAAGATAAAAATCACAAAGGGAATGAAAGCCTCCCAAGAAAGCAAGTACAGCAGTGCCTGAACTTTCAGAAGTCCCGGAGATTAATCAGCCAGGTTCAACGCCACCCATCCACCCAGTTTACGCCACTCCAATAAGGCTGCCATAAACGATCTACTTGTTGTCCGTCAAACTAGTTCCAATATAGAAAACGAAATATGGACAGCTAAGACGTAACGACCTATTAGAGGACATCAGCCAAGAGCAACACTCCTCGCAAACAATCTAAAGAGCACGACAGCCAAAAGAAGAGGCGAGCTAAGGTCTACCGGCAATTCACAACACACTAACATTATTCATACTCCCGCGGCGATCAAACCACCCACCCCTCAAATTTCCGAGGATAAATGTTCAAATCGCATGCTAGCGAAGAGGGGCAGACACGGTACTTTAAAAATATCATCAACAGATGCAGCTATGAAAATGTAAGACTAAATTACTGACGTACACACGGTGACGTAGTTATGCGAGTGAAAGGGAGGCGAGCCAGTTATTCGACTTCAACACTAAGCAAGCAAGGGATTGAATCAAACAAATACTAGATACACCAGGAATAGTACAGCTCGGGAATTTCCACATGCACCAGACAGCCAAACACATTTCCACTGGACGGTGAAAATTTTCTGCAATTACTCACCTGCCTCAACCTGAGAAGCTGCAAAATCTTCTTCGTCTTGGGGTGCAAATCATTGATACTACAATCACCAAGGACACGCAACGAAACCAATATCAATATCCGCCACTCTGTCATTTTGGCATCTTCAACTGCCCAAACAGCAGTGCCCCAACGACCATACCCCTGAAATTTCACGCACTGGGAAGACCGATTTCGCACCAAGGCCAACCCTAACTTTCTCAGTATAATTGCACTCCCCACATATTGCCAGTCCATCGCCACTCCCATCGTCCGGATGAATTTAGCATCCTACAGGATTTGAACCTGCAACCTCAGACTCGAAAAAGTTACTGCCCTATCTAGCTGACCTAAGAATGCATCTCACCGAAACGAGTCAACGCCGCCGCGACAACGAAACAAAGCGGCAGATTTCATTCCTGTATGTTCTCTCATCCGCGCGTCCCCCAGAAAATGGGATGGGGTTAGTCTTTTTCCCGCCACCTGACCACACTCGTTCTCTTCCTCGTCCACCGCCCGACGGCTACCGTCTTCCTCCGAACACAACGCACCATTATTTTGGCTGTACATGGCCGGAAATATAGCTTGTATACCTTCATTTTTAGGGTGCGTTATGTTCGGGGGAAGACGGTAGTTGGCTTCGATCCACTCTTTCTCGTCCGTACTTTAATTTTCTTTTTTTAATCCTTCACATTAATTTTCTCTTTTAATCCTTCACATGAACGTAACAAGCCCCCAAATCTCCCGTTCGGCAACAATGACACTTCGACGACACACCCGCTGAATACAACACCTTATGATTCTACCAGTTGCGCTATCGTAGGATGTACAGCGCGTCATCACTGAGGCCGGATTCAAAATTTGTACGAGTGACGACGCATGTTTCGTATCATCGTAATGACACTTGCGTTCGGTGAATTTGACAGGCGGGAGTACATCCACCAGGCCCATGAAACCCTTTCCCAGGAAGAACAACAGGAGATCGGTTCAGAACAGCACAACGTTAATACCCGTGAATCAAGCAATTACATCATAACTCCAGTAACAACAAGTCGATGCGATACCAATACGATGCGCCACCATTACAAGCAGATGTTCAGAATACTTTCCATTACCATATCCAGGCGTATAATGTTGATCAGTGAACGGCAACCTTAACTCACTGTCAAAGGGCATTGACAAGGCATTAGTCACAGGACATATCGACTATAGAGTTGATCTTAACTCAGTCTCATCTACTGGTAATCACTGTATCAAACAGTCCGGTACGGAGGTAAACCTCTTGCCGCGTGTTCTTCGAGGTCGAATTATGACTCAAAATTCGCTCTCACAGCTCTGACTCTCCAATGGAGGCCTAATGAACTCCATAACTGAATTGTATTACCTCCACAAACACAAAACGGGAAAACCCTAAACCGGCAAACCCTCTAGCCGCTTCGACTGCTGATATCACAGTACTATGGCCTCTCAGCTCGACAGACTTAGAGAAACCTAGCCGACGTCGAAAATAGGATTTCAATCGCAAAGATCACTAACCAACTGTGAAAACAATAACAACGCATAGAAACACTTTCATCTGCACAGCTTCGAACCACAAAAACAGAAATAGTCCACCAAGCACACTGGACAGGCAAAAATGCACAGAGAGAAGATGAAGATCCACTCACCCTCTGATTCTGATGATGAACATGACCTTTGGTTCCGCCTCAACATAGAACCCACCCTTGAGCTTCGCCAACCGCTTCAGACGGACAAGATCGGCTTCCTGAAGTTTTCGAGAGAAGACAATTTCACAAGCATCCCTCGTCAGCACCTTACCGGGAAGATAATGACACAGACACTTAGTTTTTAATGTTGCATTCAACGTGTTACTCACGATGCCCTCCATATCTGAAGTTTTTAATGTTGCATTCAACGTGTTACTCACGATGCCCTCCATATCTGATTTATTTGGGATAACGTAAAAAACCCCAAGCCAACCAACGGCCGTCCTGACGCTCCACTACCCACCACCATCGACACAAGAAAGTCAACCCGCCTTTCCCAACGCAATGACAAGCCTGTTGCTGTCAACTGCTTCATACCCACATTACCTTCCAACGTTAACGAGTGATTTAGGGAGGCGCGTGAAAATACTTTCCCTATCAGATGGCTCGCACACAAACTTCGGCACTTTTCGCTCCTGGCATTGCCGCCGGGTGCATCTCTCTGGATGCTACCCTCACAACCCTTCTGCGCTGTGTACGTGCCAGTATCATAATTCAGCCGTGAAGACGATCGGATTTCTACACCTGGTCCCAGAGTACAGCTACTCAAACAACCAGTTTTCAAGACACGTCAGTGTACAAGAAAGCTATCCCACCAGTTTTATGGACGCCAGTCGTCTCCTTTCCTCCTCTCGCGGTCGAAGCACCCCTCCCTCCCTCCAATGTACACCCCTCCCTCCAATGTACACCCTCAAATAAATTCTCTCAGTGCCTTACTTCCCGACCGTCCCGCCTACCCCGTTTCAGCATCCCTTCTCTGCACACTCCCTCCGACTACTGCAGTGATCTCCCTCTCTCAGATCCTCTACCATTGATTCTTCCAGCTCACGCACGGGTCCGTTCATCGCGGCGAGGGGAGCCCTGCGACTCGCCGTCCCCTTACTCAGCAAACCTGCCTTCATTTTCTAGTCCTTACTTCCGCACTCCTCCCCCACACTCTAAGGCGTGCCTACTGATGACGAAAACACTTGACCGAGACAGAAGACTCCTCTTGGGGAGGGTCCACACGAGATTTCGCGGAGCACATCTACAACATACACAAGACAACGCTGCAAATAACCGTGAAAGATTAGGTTACGGTTCAGGGAGGGAGGGAGGGAAGGTTCTCGCACCTGGGCACGGTACTCCTTGATGTACTGCTCCGCCCGCTTGAAGATGACTACTCTGTTCTTCTTGTACTTGGTCCTTTTCGCGCGCAGCTCGTCAGCCCGAGCTTTAGCCCAGGCTTCATCTCGATTCCTCTTCTTGAGGACCGACTCCGGGACAACGGCAACAGGCTCGGCCGGCTTGACTTCCATGGAACTCATTTTGTCTGGTTATGCCTCACTCTACGCAATCATCACGTCGGATCAAAACAGTGGAAATCACCATGTTAGTAAATGAACGAGTTGTGTTCTCTTCGTTCGGATCCTGTCATAGGGAATGATAAACACAATCCAAGAAGCTGGGACAAACTGGAAACCTAAAACACATAACGAGAAAGCATACTGCAAACGAAATCGTATGCCTACGCTTCCATATTTCGTTCAGCACCTGACCAATAGAAACCGTACCCTGCGTGAGAAACATGCGCGAACGCAACAAGGTCCCATACGCATGACCAGCCCGTGTTGCAGATGCTACAATCCCCGACCACGCCGATGGCGTAAAGAGACCTAAACGTGCTCCCTACAATCTCCAGGCTCAAAAGCGGGCAATTACGTCCATCAACATGCCCCACAGCCAAGTGAACACTGAAAAAACAAACTCGTCCCATTGGCAAAGATTGGACATCATCACTCCTTCATAAAGCACTTAAACTCCTGTAAGGAACGATCACGGTAGTTACCTGTAGAACAAATTTTTCATCACTTTATCTGTACTTCTCTACAACACTCGGTAAAGATACGTAAATATAGGCTCCAACCACGTATGTCGGGATGTCCAGCGCGACAAGAGGCAGTGTTCGGCCCCTTCTTGACAGTGACCTCACCCGCTATTATTTCAGCTCGCAGTTCCCTATGGAATCCTTACGGAAGACTAGCCGAAGGTACCGCCACGCACAGCATTTGTCCCTGGCGCCGCCACTTAACTTCGAGAGCCTCGCTCTCACAGCACCTCCCCATCCATTTCGACACTTCGACTCTGCACAGCGACGCCGGGTTCGCTCTAAACCCCTCACCATGACTCCACCTCTCTGCTCCCTGTTCAGTAGGCTTCTTTTTCCACTTGTATTTATTACAATCCCGTTCTCCTCACCCACCTGTCTCTCGCCTGGACTCCTTCCTTTCATACAAGCTTCCTTCCCGATCCTTGTCTTGCCCGTCCACGCCAAAACAGGTCTTCCCCTCTCCCACACAGCCTCCTCTCCGTCACCATCTCTCCACCTCCATTCGCATACATGACGATACCACCTCCACGGCCACCATGCTCTGAACAAATGCTGAGTGCTTCGTTTCGTCGCATCCGGTTTACCGCTGAACATCCGCTTCAATCCGGTATACTTCCTTTCGTCCCTCATGTTACACGTCAGATCTCCGCCATCGCTTCCTTTCGTCTTTTGCGACTGCTTGCCTTGCCCATTCCACACGGAGGGTGAGCAACCCTTCCCACTATTTTCAGACGATGGTGACATCGTACTTGTGCACCATCATCGTACTTCACAAAGGGCACTGCTTTTCCCGTTAGGCCGCATAAGAAACTCGATTACAATCAAGAGACACAGAACCACATGCACATAGAGTAAGATCATGTTTACACGCAACGGGACATAGAGAAAAGTCGACGTGAAGAAGGCGATGGAGCAAAGCTTCTTACCGTGAAAGACAGCGGCAGCCCTGCAACGAGTTGGCTGAAGAGAGAGCACAAAGACGGCCAACGAGGTTTTATGGAACCCGCCACTCCTCCGCTGCCACCGCCGTATCTTCCCCCAAAAAAAACAGCAATTTCACGGGCCTCCACGCGACCCCGAAAACACCGTACCACCAGCTGTGGTGCTTCAAGGGTCACCATTCGCCGCGGAAGCCGGTTCTTTCAGGCTGAGCACCCTGTACCATGGTCTCATCGCGTAGAGCCAGCTTCTGGTGCCAAGGCCAAACCGTCAATTTCTACGGAAATGATCCCAAGGCCTCATTCACCACGCCGAAGTCCGAACCATGGACTCAGCTCGCCGAAGTCCGAACCAGAGGAGCAGCCGCCTGGACGACAGCCAGGTGACAAATACCAATAGCCACATTTGAGTCGTTCAGAACCAGAGGAGCAGCAGCCTGGACGACAGCCCAAACCAGTTTTAGGTCACAAATACCAATAGTCACATTTGTGTGTGGGTCACCATTCGCCGCGGAAGCTGGTTCTTTCAGGCTGAACACCCTGTACCATGGTCTCACGGCATAGAGCTATCTTCTGGTGCCAAGGCCAAACCGTCAATTTCTACGGAAATGATCCCAAGGCCTCATTCACCACGCCGAAGTCCTAACCAGAGGAGCAGCTGCCTGGACGACAGCCCAAACCAGTTTTAGGTGACAAATACCAATAGCCATATTTGAGTCATTCCGAACCAGAGGAGCAGCAGCCTGGACGACCGCCCAAACCAGTTTTAGCTGACAAGTACCAATAGTCACATTTGTGTGTGTTATTCCATGTTTGTACAAGGGTACCCAGGGGCAAGGTTTCACTGCCACATCAGTACTGGGCTAATGAACCCATGCGACACATCAAAAAATGTGGAAGCTTTATTTTTAAACCACCAGTACTTGGCCCATACATCGGTCACGGGCCCTTCATCATGGCTTTCGAAGGCTGTAAATCCGAAAACAGATGTTGAGGAAATTTATCAACGGTGCAGAAGCCTTGAAAGTCGGGTTCGTGCACAAAAAGGATCTGCAGTCGATGTATGGGCTAAGTAAACCATTTAATTCACGACTGTAGAAGTCTCCACCCAGCGACGAGGCCACTTTTGTGTATACACAGGAGAAGGTTGGGGTCAACAATGTGGCTATTTCAGAAAATGACGATTCGAAGTTGTGTTTGTATCCTCCCTTATCACATTGGAAGATATTGTTTTCGTTTTATACCTTGGTAGAGTGTTTCACGGCTCGAGAATCCCTTAGTGTGCATGATGGGACCCCTATGATGGTTGAGATAGTGAAGTGTTCAGTTTTTAAATTTTTCATTGAATATTAAGTACTCGAGGATGGTGCAATTGACTAAAAAATAAAGTACGATCTAAACGAACCCGTTTGAGTATTGAATTTGATTTTTTTTCTTAAAAGTGATGTCAAGCGAAAATAGTTTTTATTTTTTTTCCACGTTTTATCTTATGAAATTGTAAAAAATATATATATATATATATATATATACATATATCTTAATTTTGTTGTCATCCAATAAAACGTTACCAACAACCAAGCAATGTTCCATAAATGTTTCACGTGGACATGATAGACTACTCGTGTCCGAATGTCTTAACAAAAAAAAAACATATACGTTCTATTCAATTTTTCTATAAAAAATGAGTCCTCATAAATCGTTGATTTTCTGTTGAATAAAATAACTCGAATAAAATTTATGTACGTTATATTTGATATGACATACGTATGTTGTATTCGAATTTTGATATTTTTTTTAATGAAAAAATATATACAATATTTCAATGCGAAAATTTTTTGTTTATTGAGTCATATTGAATTAAAAACAAACCAATTGTCCTAGCTAAGTTGTACACCGCTGAAATGTTGAAATACAGACTTGTGTTCCAACTTCAGAAGAAGAAGATGGATAAAGTATTACAATTTTAAACTATCTAGCGCTGGTCAATTCGATATCTAAAGGTTGTTACCCTTTAATAATTATAATAAAAATAATAATAATTAAAAAAAAAAAACAAGAAGGGACACTTACGATGGAGTAAATCTCGACGTTGAGAATAGGCAACTTTAGCAGTTCCCGAAGTGAAGCAAAAAAATATCCCTAAATATGTTAAACACTGCTGGAGGTAATGGCGGACGTAATTTTTAACCCCTGCTAAACTTGCCCAGTTTGAAACTCACACCATGACATCAGCGTCATTTTTTATTTATTTTTTAAACTAAAAGTGTGTCGCAACCAATAATATCTTTTATGGAAGTCTGGAAGGGATGTTTTATTTTTGATATTTATTTTAAATATTAATTTTTAAGAAAAGTAAAAATTATAAAACAAACAACTTTTTTCCGATATTTTGACGAAATTTGGCGGTGGTACTACAGACCCCTTCAAAGTTATGCCTTAAAACACTTAATATAACATACATACATTGTATTTGCATATAACATACGCATGTTTTTTTTCAATTCAACCGTGCCCCAATATATAATTGTCAAACACATGATTATTTTACTTGAGGGTCAAGTCAACATCACAACCTTCCCCCCCCCTCACCACGACATTGATTTATATAAAGCTAATTAACGTTGTTTTGATAACATAACTCAATCACCGAGACCTCGGTTGTAAACCACCAGTTTGTCAAAATGTGGCACACTCTGCTACATAGAAATGCATGTTGGTGTACGATTCTCTGTCCGTTGTTGGTAAAAAACAATAAGAAGAAAGGAAAACAACAAATTAACCACTTTCATTATCCTATAAAAAATAAATCGGGGCAATTTTCCAAGGCAATTGCAGTTTTTTTCCTTTAGTAGGCCTAAGTTGATAAAAACATTTCGCTAGAAAGCTAACGCTTGTACTCCCACATGTAAATACCATAAACATTTTAAACAACAATATTAAAAAAATAAACAGTCTGTTAGACCATGATTAAGTTTTTTCACCTACCGTTCTCAAATACATGACAATGTGTCCGTTATCTTAAAGGTTAGCAACATCAAAAAAGTTCTTATTTATTATTATTCAAAATACTTAGCGCAGGTAAACCATGTGTCTTATACTCGATATCATTTGATTTTACTACACGATAATGAAATAACAAACACTTACATATTATTATCAGTCAATCATTAAAAAAAATATACTTGAAACTAAAATTTATCAACAGTCTATTGTTGAATGAATCACTGTGGTATATAACTAAAAAACTTATGTCATTCAAAGGTATTAATGTTTCTATAAGTTGCATTTCTTTTAATATTACTTATAAGTTGTATAAATAAGATTTTAAATATGATCAGTCTTCTTGTTGTATATTTACAAAAGTTGAAAAAATGGGACACAAAATGCATGATTGCTGTAAATGATAGGACACAATGTAATTTTCTATTACAGCAATAGTGCACCGCAAATGAATAAAAGGAAAGTTTTTAGTTACAACATGTTCAACAATCTACCTTCTGGAAGCTCAATGTCATACTATACTAATATGGAAGAACGTACCACAAGGGTTGGTCACTGTAGAGACAAGTAATCATAACACCTGTAGACTAGGGAGACTGGGGGGACTTGTGGAATGACATTGTCATAGGTGATATCGTCATTCGAATATCCAAAGCTATAACCTATGGCTTTGAGTCGATACAGGCGACTATCCTTTGACATTTATTGCAATAATAAAGTAACATGATAAGCGAGGCTACCAGTCGGGCCTCCCGGGTCACCTTGCTATCCCGGACGGCCCGGTCGTGCGAGGTCCACGGAAGGTCCCAACAACAGGAAAAAAAAAAAAAAAAAAAAAA